TGCAGATCACATTATATTTGTTGGCAACACGTGCTGCACCAGCGTCATTTCCTGCTCAGGCATCAGCTGAATGTCAATGCGACGCAGCACTAGCTGGGCCATTCCAGAAAGAGGGCATACTACACGCAGCACTAATCAGGCCTAGAAGAGAAAACCGAGCCCAGACACCAGGCAGGGGAGCCTGACGTCTTCACTGAGATTATGAAAATCCCAGGTCTAGGTGCCCGAGGCTGCGTTCATCAGGCCAAACAGCCGAGGTCCACGTCCATTACTGCTGGGCATCTTAGTTCACTGATTTGGTGGCTCCAGGCCAGGATTGCATAACAGATCAGAGGCCCAAGGGGGTACAGATGACCAGAAGGGCCTCTGGCTGCCTGGCGAAGCCCAGTGTGGCCTGGGATGGGGGGCGTGGACGTGGACCCGGGAGGCCTAAGTGTAGAGGGGGTTCTTTGCCCAACTAGGCCTCTGCCTAGCACCGTTTCTTGAAGGCCCTTTGTGAGACCTCGACCCGGGCAACAAAGAGGCCACGAGATGGCAGCAGAGGACACAGCCTGGGACACAAAACCTGCCAAAAAACAGGTTGAGAAACGGAAGAGACTTGGGAAATACCATCAGTTGTCTATAATCATGTATTCAAAGTCAGAATAAATAACCGAATTTCAAATAATTGAGGGTAAAATTCATCAGCACGGGGATTTTCTCAATCTTTTCACAGGGTTAAAAGCCGTACATCAAGCTGCATGAACTGGCTGTTTTTCCAGTGCTTAAAAGCCAAAGAATAGTGGGTCACGGCCTTTCAAATCTGACGTCAGCAGGAGCCTTGTTACAGTCCCTTCTTTCTGTGAAGTTCTAATTCAAGTAAAATGAGTAAGTTCCATAGAGGCTGCCAAACTGATGAGGAATGTGGCAGATGCACGGTTGCTGGGGAGCACTGTAGCATAGCACAATGTGTGGTGGTGCAGACAGGGACTCTGGTCACAGTGTTTGGGGGGGTTGTACTGAGGAACACAGGGGGAGACTCAGTCTTGGTGTGGGGCTGGTAGAGTGTAATACCCAGGAAAGAGGTATTGGCAGCAATCTCTCAACTTGTATTTGGAAGCTCTGCCCACCCCACATTCCCTTACTACCTTCTCACTGACCACCAAAAATTTCTCCAGGCATTGAAAATGTCCCCTGGGAGGCAAAATGACCCTTTCCTGAAAAACTGATGCTCTAAAAGGATAATAACTTTATGTTTAGCCCCTCCAAGAGTTTGCATTCCACAAACTCTACAGGAACCGTATTGTACACCCCAAACCCAAATCCTTCTAATAATGTAGAAACTGACCATTGAAGGGACTACAGGCTGACTCTGACCTTGAATTAAAAAAAAGTTATAAGTAAAAGCAATATTTCTTTTTAAAAAATATTTTATTGCTTTTATTTTATGTGTATGAGTATATGCCTACATGCATGTGAGTGTACCATGAAGGTCAGAAGAGGGCATCGGATTCCTCTGGAACTGGAGTTAAGGACAGTTCATAGCTGCCATGGCCATGTAGGTGCTGGAAATTGAACCTGGGTCCTCTGCAAAAGCAGTCAGTGCTCTTAACCGCTGAGCCATGTCTCCAGCAGCCCTTCAATATTTCAAAATAAAAATAGTATACATGTGAAGTCAGAATTTCTGACATCTGTAAAAATAATTGAAACTAAGGCACTACCTGGTCCACAGTCCTACTTGGTGATACTTGGTAGAGACACCCATTCATTTAAATACAGTGCACACTCCCTGTTACCAGATGCCCTATCCACGCCACTCATTTAAACCATTCTTTGCCTTCATAGGCAATTTATTTTGAACCTCTGAAGTGCCTTATATTTTTCCTTATATGACTTGACTTTAGCCTTACATCCCAGTAAGATAAAGATGATAAACAGTATTATAATCTCAACATAAGCAAAATATAGTCCAGCCCAAGCAACAGAACCAAAATCTAGGTTTCCTGACATCCAGTTTTATTATTTTTCCTATTAAAAATTTCACATGGGAGCCAGGCATGGTGGCACATACCTTTGATCCTAGCACTTGGAGCAGAGGCAGGTGGATTTCTGTGATTGAGGCCAGCCTGGTCTACATAGTGAGTTCCAGGCCAGCAGGGGCTATAAGGAGACCCTGTCTCAAAAAGACCAAAAAAAAAAAATTTTTTTTTTTTAATTTTAAGCCAGGTGTGGTAGCGCAAGCCTTTAGTCCCAGCACACTGGCTTCTGTGTTGCTTTGTCTTGCCTATTCTCAAAGGTGTGGGGTAGATGCTTATCACAATCTATGAGGGTGTCAGCAGTCAGAGAAAAATCTAAGGAATCTTCCTTGCTAACATGCTTGGGTTAAAAAGCTGAGAAAGACATCTTTGCATCAAAACTCTAGAAGTTTCTCTCTGCTGGACTGCAGTAGCAGCAAGCGA